TATTTTTTTCTGTGAACTGTTGATGTCTTTGGCCTGCTTTTAAAAAATCAGTTTATTGGTCTTCCTGTTACTGATTTTTAAGAGCTCTTTGTATATTAGGGACATTAGCCTTTTATGGTATATTACAGTGTTTTCTCCCAGTGAGTTTCTCTTTGCTTTGCTTATGTTTTCTTCATGCAAAATTGCACATGTGTATTTTTCCACAGTCCAATATATCTGTTTTTTTTTGCTTTTAGGTTATTTGCTTCCCACTCCTAGACTATAAAGGAATTCACCTATGTGTTGCATCTATTATTTGTATGATTTTACTTTTTATATTTAGATCAGGGTTCCATTTGAAGTTTGTTCTGATGTTCAGTGTAGGCATAGAATAAGTTTTATCATTCTGCAAATATTTTCTTATCTCCATATCCATATCATCTATTAAAAAGTCGATTTTTTTCTAATGATTTGAGGTCACATTCCCCAGACCTTTATCATTAAAATATTAAATTTCCATAATGTATTGTAGATGGACATTCTATTCTGTTCTGGTTCTGGAGTTATTTTGTTCCATTGGCCCAAATATCTGCTCATGCTACCACCACCCTCTTAATTACAGACTTAATGACATAAAACATATGGTAGGGAACCTCTCCCTTGCTCTTCTTTTCAAAGGTTTTCCTAGATAGTCTTGCTTATTTTTTCTCACATAAACTTTAGAACCAGCTTGTCTAGTTCCAGATACTTGATTTTTTGAAATTGAGTTTGTATTAAATTTAGATTGATGTTGAGTCTTCCTATGCATCAACAGGGGGTAGTTTTTTGTTCATTTTTCATAATCTTGTGAGGCTGTTATAAAGGGATTCACCTATGCGACTGTTTTTGAAGAGTTGGTTTTTGTTTTGTTTTTTCATATATATGCTGTATATTTCATATTATATCTATTCCTTAGTAGTTTATCTTTTTCATGGTTCTTATAGTGAATGGCTTCTTCTCTTTCATTACGTTTCTATAATTTGTGGTTTATTCATTAAGACGACACTGGGCGCTTACTCCGCCAGGTGCTAGGTGGATTTAGTAGGGAGCAGACAGAACTCAGTCCCCACCTTTTACTCCCTCAACTTTATTGAGGAATAACTGATAAAAATTATGATTTAATATACATATACGTACATTATGAAATGATTATCTACAATTCAGGCGTCTTCAAACTACGGCCCGCGGGCCACATGCGGCCCGCAGAGGAGTCTGATCCGGCCCGCCAGGTTTTTTGGGCAGTGAGTGCAGCCGAAGTGTTACAGTAGGAATTAGTAGTTCATATAGTCTGGCCCTCCAGCTCTCTGAGGGACCGTGATCTGGCCCCCACTTTAAAAAGTTTGAGGACCCCTGAGTGAAATGATTCTCACAGTCAAGTTAACACATCCCTCACCTCTTTTTAAAAAAATTTTAAGCATAGTTGACATAAAATATTGTATTAGTTATATTGACTTGAGGTGTATAATATAGTAATTTTACATTTCTGTATTACTAATTCTAGTAATCACCTGCCACAATATTTATCACAATATCACTGACTATAACCCCTGACACCCTTTCCTTTTGTTTCTACAAGTCTGTATGTTTCTTTTTATAAGTGAAACCGTATAGTATTTGTCCTTCTCCTGACTTATTTCACTTAGTATAATAACCTTTAGGTCCATCCATGTTGCTGCAAATGACAAGACTTCGTTCCTTTTTTATTGCTGTATATTATTCACACACACACAAACACACAAGACCTGATGCATAAAAATTCGTGCAAGAGTAGGCATTCCTTCTCCCAGCTGCCAGCACCAGCTTCCCTCGCAGCCCTGGCTTTATCCGGAAGGACAACTGGTCTAATTAGCATATTATGCTTTTATTATTATAATCACATCTGTGTGTTTTTTAATCCAGGCTCTGGCCCTGTTTTATTTTTATTGATTTTTAGAAGAGGAAGAGAGAGAGAAACCTCAATGAAAGAAAGAATCTTTCCAAAAATCGGGACTTTTTTTAAAACGCAGCAGGACACGGGACAAATTGTTAAAAATCAGGACGTCTGGTCACCTTAAGTTAGGCGTCAGCAGTCCTGAATTTTGAGAGTGATGTCCAACTGCCCTTTTAGACCTGATCCCACCAGGACTGGGCCTAAACAGGCAGTCGGACACCCCTCGAGGGATCCCAGATTGGAGAGGGGGCAGGCGGGGCTAAAGGGCATCCCCCCCCCCCCCCCCCCCCCGCACGAATTCCGTGTCCTGGGCCTCTAGTTGTAAATAATGCTGCAGTGAGCACAGGGATGCACATGCCTTTCCGAATTAGTCTTTATTTTCTTTGGATTAATACTCACAAGTGGGATTGCTGGGTCACCTGACAGACCTATTTTTAGTTTTCTGAGTACTCTACATATTGTTTTCCATAATGACCACACCAGTTTTCAATATCCACATTCGTGCCAGTACATTATTTGTTGATTTTTTGGTAATAGCTTTTCTGTCATGTGTGACGTGGTGTGTATCATGGTTTTCATTTGCATTTTCCTGATGATTAGTAATATTGAGCATCTTTTCATGTCTTTTGGTCATCTGTGTTTTCTTTGGAGAAATGTTTTTTTCATGTCCGCTGCCCATATTTTTATCAGGTTGTTGTTGTTATATGAGTTTCTTAATATTTTGGTTATTAACCCCTTATCAGTTATATATTTTCCCATCCAGTAGGATATCTACCTAGTTACTTTGGTATGTGTATGGTAGGAACACTAAGATCTACTCTCTTAGCAAATGTGAAGTATACAATACAGTGTTTAACTGTAATCCCCATGCTGTACATTAGACTTCCATAACTAATCCCTTTTGTAACTGAAAATTTGTGCCGTTGGACCAACATCTCCCCACTCCCAGCAACCCCACTCACCTACTCTCTGGTTCCGAGTTCGGTTCTTTTAGATTCCTTAAGTGAGATCATACAGTATTTGTCAAGGCTGAAGTTTCTGGAAACTTAAAATCAAGGCTGCTACTGCCTTCTGAGCCCAGCCCTTAGGAAAAGGACTGGCTGCCCTAGTGGTGAAACCTATTGTGGGCCCAGGGATCTCATTCTGCAAAATACCAGAGCAGTTTATGTAAAAATCCACCTTCCACCCCTTCTGTAAAGTCCCACCCCTACACAGCCTGGCCTCCCAGAGGCAGGGCTGGTGCCAAGGACCCTTCTTCACAGCTGCGATACAATAAAATGAATGGTAGCTCCTGCTTTCCCATGCAGCCCTGCCCTGGGTCCCCAGATCCTGTGAGTGACCTCACCTGCCCATCTGCAGAGGGCATTGCTCATTGTTATGGGCTCTGCCCATCCCTGCCTGGTAGCTTCCCAGGAGGCTGGGCAAGAGGTCACAGAAGGTCACGGCCCCTCCTCCATGCAGCCTGTTGCAGTCCTGCAGGCAATCCAGGCAGCCCTTTTTGTTCACATAACCTTTTCCCACACACCTATGCCCCCAGCTCCGCACTTACTTGCTGTATGATCCTAGCAAGGTGCCTTACCTCTCTTCAGCTGGTTTCCATCTGCACCTCACAGGCTATTGTGAGGAGTGAAGGAAGGACTATTGCAACCGGTCTGCATAGCTTGTGGCACAGGGAGAGGCTCCATGATCGTGTGTTTATTGAATGACACAGTGAAAGAATGAATTCCCCTGGTGAACCCTGTGGTGGCAAGTTTGCCTACTCAGATGGTCAGACCTATAGGATCATCAAGTCCAGGAGCTCCTAAGTGCAACACCCCGCCTCCTACCACTGAGTCCCTTCCCAGGAGGCAGGCCCAAGAGTGTTCAAGCCATACTGAGGACGAGCTGAGCCCCAGACCCAGCTCCTCCACATCCCAACCCTGCTCCTGCAGGCATCTGGAAGTTGGCATTGCAGCCTCATCCAGTGTCCTTGGACAGTAAGACGTGTGTAAAGACAGGGGATGTGAGAGGCACATTGACTAGCTCTCAGCCAGGCTGCTGGATCCTCCAGAGAGAGGAAATTTCCTTCTCTATTTACTTTCCACATCCTTGCCTTTGAAAGCCAAGCTGGTGTTGATATTTACCTTGGCCGGGCCTCCCCGTCTCCCTGGGCCAGCCTCATGTAAACACGATGTTCCTTCTCTTGGTTCAGCTAACGTTGAGGTGGCCTTTTGCAACCAGTTCTAGGAATTCTGAAAGTCTGAAGGCGTAAGTTCAGGGACCAGCCCCCCAGGGAGTCCAGGCTACGAGGAGCCCAGGGACCTCTGTGCTGGCCAGTGGGCCAGGCCTTCCCCCACCTTTTCTCATTCCTTTGGGGATCCTACTTTCCCCATGTTCACGTCTCGCCCCACCCTGGGTCAGACTCAGACTCTCCAAGGACACACACTGAGGGACAGGCAGGATCTGGCTGTTTCCACTGTCCTGCCCCAAGCGCCTGCTGGGGCCGGTGGGGAAAAGGCTGACTCTTAGGGAGCAGCCAGTTCTTTAGCGTTTGTCTGGGCCTGTGGTTTTTAGTCCAGTTGGCACCTGGACCACAGGGTGGGAGCCTGCAGAGGTGGGAAGTGTGTGCACAGGCAGTCTGGGCCCCATTCAGCGAGTGCACAGCCTGAATCCTCCCCTCAGGGTCACCCTCCAGAGAGCAGGTGGACAAGAAGAAGGCAGCCATGGAGGAGACAGGATGATGTGGCTCATGGTCAGGAGCGAGTGGGGCAGGGATGGCAGCTCTGCAGGATGCTGAGGGGGCATTTGCACTCCCCGGGGCCAGATCCCAGCTGGCTCTTCTCCACAACTCGGCCACTGGTTCAGTTACCAGAGATCTCTTAGGCAACTGACTTCACTTCTCTGAGACGTGGTTTCGTTATAAAGAAGTGGGGGTGTCGATCTCTGAGTGACGATGGAGGTGAGGCACACGGCATGTCACCTGCAAGTGGGAGCCATTGTCCCTCCTGCTTGTCAGCTGACAACTGCACAGCTCTGAGCACCTGAACACTCTGCTGTCTCCTTCTCCATGCAGATCTGGGACATGAGTGACGATGAGACCGTCTGACAGCCCACCTCAGTGACAGCCGCTGCCTGCTGGGGAGCTCAGTGGCCAGAGCAGGACTGCTGCCTACGACCGGTGACTCTGGGCCCCGCATCCCCCACCCTTCGTCCCTTCCTCTCCGCACCTTGAGGACTGGGGCCTTCCCTTCGCTGCCCAGGAGCTTCTGGCGTTCTTCACTTCTGGTTCATGACGCTGCCAGTTCTGAGCTAAATAATAACCTTGGCATTGCCACCAACGAGGCGAGGCTCCCTCCACGAGCAGTTCTTTTCTCTCCTCTCGTCAGTGTTTGTTAGGCCCCCAGGATCCTTCCCACCGTGGCCCCCACGGGGTGGCAATGAGCACAGGCAGAGAGTTGTCCCAACGAAGACTACATAAATGCTCTCCTCCTTCTAGAGACCACTGTGGGCTGCACTGCAACCCCGTCCCCCCGTCCCTGCCCTCTGCCATCCTTTGTGGTGCCCGCTGTGTCTGCCTCAGTCTGTGGCCAGCAGGCGGTGAGAGTTCACGTGGGCTCTACCTGATCTTCTCTCTTATCCTGAGTCTGCACACCTGTGGCACCAGAGTGGGTGTGGAAACTTCTCATCCTTGTGGTCTCATCTTTAATCTCGGGCCTGGAACCAAAGTCAAAATGGGAGTCTGACACTGGCTCTAGGAAGAGGAGGATTTCTGGAGGTTAGGTTTTCAGTGCTGGTTCTCAATTGCAATTCCAGTTTTCTAGCCCATGTGGGGCGTAAACAGGGGCACCTCTGTAGAGAGGCGCAGTGTGGCTAAGCACCCCACCCTCCCAGCAAAGCACTGGCACTCCAGGACCAAGGTCACACGTACAGTCCGTGGTTTAAGAGCACTTTATTATTGTTCTTAAGGCTACTTTTAAGTACAAAAAAAAGATGGCCTGCCAAACCTTTTTTTTTTTTCTTCTTCTTCTTCCAGGAAAAACAGGCCACAGAGAATGGTATATTACAGATTTACAAACATGGAGAGAACTGTCAGAACGCACTGCGGATGGCGTGGCTCTGTGAAGACCCTCACCGTGCTCCTCCTGCAGCCGGGGAGTGTGTCCCTTCCCAGTGAAATGTTTGGTTTCCTGCTTCCCCGTCTGCTGAGGCCCCTCCGGTACTGCCTATCCCAGATAGGCCAGTGCCCGGGGACCCAGCCACCACCACCGTCCCTCCCCGGCGGACAGCTGTGCGAGGAGCCTCTTCACAGAGCCCGCTGGCAGTGGGCCGTTTCCTGTGGCAATGCTCAGTAGCCTGTAGCAGTAACAAACTAGTGGCTATTAAGGCAGATGCAGTGTTCTCATAGAATAACTGTGTTCCTGCACTTTTACAGACAAATCTACGACAAAAAAAAGATCAACTTTTTTTTTTTCCAAACAAAAAAATTATGAATGATTACAATAGGAAAGGGAAAAATTAAATAGCTACATATCATTAACAAATTAATTGTTCTTCAAAAAATACCTACAAATTTCTCTGTACATTCTTTACGCACAGCGTAATGATGGTCTTAAAGTTACCTATATAAAAAAAGTGTTCTCAACAATTTTTCCTACAGAAAATACAGGGGCCTGGATGCGAAAGCCTGGAAGCCCAGTGAAGTGGGAGTGAAATGTGTGCAGGGGCGAGAGGACAGGGCCTTCCCTTCGCCTTTTCAAAGGCCTGCAGCCACCCTGTGACCACAGCAAGAGCCAGTCCTCCGACCTTTTCACCCGGCGCCGGTTTCCAAAGGGGACCAGCTCACCTGTGGTTTTCTCAGGCTGAAACCCAGCCTGGGGGACTCCTGGGAGCCCACGATGCCTTGCAGGTGGGGTGGTCATGCCAGCGTCACCTGGCCAGGTGACTTCTCAAACCCTCCAGTGAGCGGGCCGGAATGTAGCCCGGGAGGGGCAGGGGGATAGACACATGCGTTTACTGAAAAGAGGAGCAGCTGTTGAACATCCACAGCTGTGTCTGTCATGCTTTCTTCATCTAATTTCTAGTTAGTAGCTATTACTATAGCAAACGATAATAAATGCAGTAATAACTGTATAAAGTCAGAGGAATGTATACTGCCTTGGCCCCAGCGTATGAGGAAGCACACAAAATAGCATATCACAGATTGTCAGTAATCTGCTGTTTAGCCAAGAGAGTTAAAGGGGGCAGTTTCAGCACAGAAGAAAGTTGGAAGACAACTCCCAACCCCCCTGGGAGCTAGTAATAAGCATAAGCAGACAGGGACGCAAAAAAATAAATGATGCTGTCAGCCTGCAGCAAAAACTCCAGCATCCTACACCCCGGCTGACCAGCGACTCGACTGCCCATCCCAGGGCCTGCCTGGGGCCACGTGGCCCCACTACTAGGGAGTAACGTGAATATCAAATACAAATCTTAGAGTACAACTGTACCAGCAGTAAGTATATCTAGGACTGTAACTGACAAAAATAAACTAATTCTGAACAGAAGCTAGCATTAAGGTTTGTGTTTACCGTTTATACAATTAATAGAAACCAGCTATTTTCCCCCCTTAAAAACATGCATCATGTTTAAAGCACTACGGAACCCCAGCTCTAGCCTAACAAACTGCAGTGTTTAGGAAAAGTAGAATGCCCGTGATTGGTGGAGTCTGCAGTCCAGTTGCAAGCACCTGAAATCTAGAGAGAAAGACCTATAACCAGTATGAGACTTCCCCTTCCAAAGCTGTTTAGTCTAAGTTTAAAATACAAAACAAAAAAATACAAATGGTCAGAAATGTCATCCTTAAACCCTTTGTTTTCAGCAGTTTGCCCTCAGAGTACTAGCATCTCACATAAAGTTGTCAAGCAGGCAACTCTAGTCCTCCTCCAATAGTGCAAATCAGACACAAGAGTCCTCTGTTCTCTTCAAGTAGACGCACACACGCGCGCGCGAGCTGGACCGAACAAGCCACGGACGCTAAGCCACACACACCCGGCCTCGAGAAGCACATGGAAAAGCACAAAGCATTCGGGTCACCAACGTCATGGCTTGTGACCGAGAAAGTGCGCGCCATGGAGGCCCGACCCTGTCGGGCAGCAGACCTGCATCAGAGGTTTCTTTGGTAACTGAGGCAGGAAGTTAGGATGCTACACGAGACAGATGTTCCGCACGCCGTTCCTACTATCATGTTTGAGGGCCCTGACGTACGAATACCAAGCAAGCACAAAAACAGAACGAAATTCCCAACATGGTTTTTGCAAATAAACCATCCCTTCCCTTCCCCCCCACCCCACTCCCGTGACTTTTTTTTTTTCCTGTTTTTTTTTTTTTTTTAAAGAACTGACTGTTCAAAGCTCAGGCAAACCATGCAGATCGGCGTCTTGCTGGAGGACGGTGCTCTCTTCAGGAGACCACGGAGGGGGAGTGGCTGTGGCTGACCATGTGGGCAGAGGGGCTGGCGGGCTGGCCCCTGCGCGAGGCCGACTCGGGGCTGCTGGACGCGCCGTCCTTGGCCGCCTTGATCTGAAGCCACGTGTCTCCCAGGGCTTTGGCAAAGTGGTCGTCCACGGAGCCCGTGATGGACACGGAGTTGGGAGCTGGCTCAGGCTCCTTGTAGTTCTTGCCCAAGCTCCTGCGGAAATGCTCCTCCACCACGGGGTCACAGGTGGTGGCGGCGGCGGCTGCGGGGGAGCAGGACAGCAGTCAGAGCTGGGCATTTGGGCACACGTCTCTGAACCGTGACCTGGCGTTACGCCTGCCGCCCAGGGCTAGCTGCTCGTTCAGAGAGAGAATGTGGCAGTAGGGGACGGTAGAGACTATTTTACCCCAACTAGGGAGAGCGCCTGCAGGTCAGGGCCAAAGTGTGTCTTCCCTCCTTCCCACCCACGCCAGGCACAATGCCAGGAGCATACGTGCTCCAAAAATCCCACTTTTTCCATCTCAACTAGAAATCGGCTCCAGGACACCTAGAGGTTCCCGTCTACAGCATGAGATGGAGGAAGCGAACTCCACTTGACGGCGTGTTGACTGAGGAAGCTGAGCGCCCCCCCTTCCCCCCCCGGCCAGCCCACCCCGGGGACACTTACAGCTCGGGGCCCTCCGGTAGCTGGCCGGCCCGGCCACACAGCCGCTGTGCGCGATCGGGCAGTGGGAGAGGTTGCAGTTGCGGGCGCTGGCGGAGGCGCAGGTGATCACTGAAGGCCGGTTCTGGGGAGAGAAGGGGGCTGGTGTCAGCTCGGCCCTGGGAACCCAGAAGCAGTTCTGCTTCCCCAGCCCAAGCCCCCAGTCCTTCGACACCTGTCACAGCTCAGGCAGCGCGCACCCCTCCCACCCCACAGCTGGGCCCTTGACCTGCCTGAGAGCCAAGTGCCACCACCCCAGCACCGCCCACCATTCTGGGGAGACCCCCCCCCCCCCCTGACTGAAGGCAAATCTAAGTCCAGCCCGTGTGCAGCCTCCTACTTCAGTGCAAACAGAGAGCGGCGCGTGCGGAGGGAGGGGGTCTCCCAGGGCGGGAGGGGCCTCGGTGCTCCTGGGGTGGAGGAGCCCCTGCTGAGGCTCGGGGGGCAGCGAGCGGCCCTGCCTTCTCAGGCCATGCCCACTCCTCCCCAGTGGCGCTCCGAACGGTCCCTGTGCCTTTCACACACTTGGTTTCTGCTTAGGCCAAAGGCAGCTCAAGCGGGTTTTTATTAGGACCACACAGATGGAGACAAATGCAGGAAGCACACACGCGTAGATGAATTACATGCATGTCACCCCTCCCCCAATCGGCTGCGCTGATGCCTTCCTTCCCCAGGACAGCCACACTGCCTGGCAAACCACTCCTCCTCCAAAGCCCGCTCAAATACCGTCGCTGGCAAGCCTTTTATGACCCCACCCGACCCCGATTCAGCAGGTAAAGCTGCCCTTCCAGGTGCACCCGTATGACACCAGCACCTGCCGCCGCCTCTAGATCACGCACACTTCAGAGCAGGGGCCACAGGCTGTGGGGCAGGGCCTGGGGCAGAAAGCACCTGAACCAAACCACGCTTCCCGGGTTCCACCAGGAAAGGTATCTCCCGTTAGCCCCGAGGACGAGACAGACGGAGACGTGCACCGGGTTCCAAGACAGCCAGTGAGGGACTGGCTGGGGGGTCACCCCGAAGGGCCCGATGTGTCCACAGAAGGGGATGGGGCTCGTCCACCCAGCTTCCCTCTCCGGAGTCCATCAGCGGCCAGGACACAGATCCACACAAGGCTTCACATCAAACCTTCCCACTGGGAGTGAACAAGGCTGACGAGGGGGGAATATACAAAGTGACGACGACGACGGAACTAGACTTAGAGGGGTCGTCCAAGAGCAGAGACTTAGAAATGTCAGGTTTTTCTTTAGACCCCTTTTCTGCACCTGCCTGCCTGTAGTCCCAAACCACCTCCACCCCCAATATATACAACATCTGAATTTTGCACTCTCAAGAGATTTAAGAATTAGTTCTCCTATCTTCTTGTATTGTGTCTTCTCGAGCAATAAACATTTCCTTGCTAAAATAAATAAATAAGTAAATAAATAAATAAAAATGTTCTGGGATAAAGATTTGGATCTACTAGGAACTGGGATTAAAATAAGGGTCTGGGTTTGGGTCTAGCAAGAAATTACATGCCAGATGGGGCAAGACATGGCTGAGCTGCAGCATGTGAAGGAAGAATTTAGGGTTTTCATTAAGAGCATGACTCCTCAGCAACAGGGATGGAACCAGAACCACTGGTCACAGTGCGGGGCAAAAGGCCCGGGTGAGAGCGGGGCTCTGAGGCCAGGCAGACCTGGGTGAGAGGCACTCCTCCGGCAGGGCCTGCAGCAGGAGCTTCCTCCACTCCCACTGTTCCTGTGACAGAAAGCACCTGAGGAGGGGGTGAGGGCCCACCTCCTGGGGTGAAGGGTGTGGAGCCCTGCTCACCAGGTGCTGCTCAGACCGCACCTGGAGGACAGCCTGCAGCTGGAGCCCACCTCCCGAAGGGTCTGTTTAATTCCTGAGCCCACGATCGCTCCCCTTCCCTCTCGGGAATGGGCTAAGACAGGATCGTGAGTGGCCTTGCCTATGGCCCAGGTTGAAAATCTGATCCAGGCTGGGGGCCAACTTCTAAGCCTGACTCATAAGAGATTCAAGTTGCTCTCAGGGCTGTGGGCAGCCACGCTGGGCTGGCCAAGTGTGTCTCTCAGAGGAGAGGATGCAGAGACCCAGACAGGCCCGGGGCCAGGGGAGGAAGGGGAGTCCTGTGTCCTCTCCTGCCCTCCCAGGCAAGGGCCAGCCCTTCCTTCCTCGGCCTGGCTGCACCATGACCCTCCCAGGAAAACTCCCTTCCTCTCGTGTGGAAAGTAAGTCTGATGGGTTTCTGTTCTTTGCAACCAGAATCCTGACCAGCGCAAATGTCAGGAAGTAGGGATGTGTTTGGGGGAAGCGTCTTAGAAGATGAAGAAATACAGTGGCACAGGATGGAGTTAGGAGGCTTAGACGGAAGAATGAAGCCGACATCCAGCCCTTATGCCGGTGCTGTCCAAAGGCGGGGAAGGCCATTCCAGGAGAGAACACGGCTCCTCCTAGCGGGGATCACTCAGCTCCATTCGCCCCCCGTGCTCCCCACGGCCCTCCGCCCTGGCTGCCCTAGGAAAAGAGTGTCCATGAGTACAGTTGGATGCCCACTGCCTTAGGTTTTAACCTCATCCTGTCTCTCCTTGTTTGCTGTTGCCCTCAAGGCCACCCTCTCTGTCACTTTTGTACCTTTCTTTAGAACACTCTGTGTCCTCAGAGTTGCCATTACCAAGCCATAAAAGTGGGGTGACACTTTCTGCAGCCTCCCCAGGAACTTTCCAGCCCCAGTTCCCAGAGTTCTGAGTCACACTTTCCAACGCAGGGAGGAAGGCTTCCCGCACAGCCCGCCCCGGAAGGCTCGGCTCCCCTGCCTCCCCTCACTCACGCCCCCCCACGGCCACAGTCCTGACTGCTCACAGATGAAACGGAGCTCCTGGACACGGACGGACGCCTCTGAGCTGCTGGGAACAGGCACAGGCCCCTCATCTCTCCTCAGCTCAGCACCTGGCTCGGGACTCGGTGAGAGTCCGAGCAGAAGCTCAGGCTGTGGCGGACCGTCCAGGAAGAGGTCAAGGATGTGAACGAAATGTGCTGACCAGCAGTCAAGGTGGAAGGCAGACTGGTAGCCTCTTTGCCACTAACCCAAACCTTAAAGCAAAGCTTAGGTCAGCGGCCTCCACGCTGGGGAAGCCAGAGCCCCCGTGCCCATCCCAGGAAAGCCGCTGGCTTGTTCAGTGGCCACTGGCCAGGACTCCCACAGGAACGAGATGAGAACTCAGGGTTCCCGCTCCTAGAAAGCCTGCTCACCGCCCCACAGTTGGCGGGGTGTGTGTGTGTGTGTGTGTGTGTGTGTGTGTGTGTGTGAACCTGCGGGAGTGGGCTGGGGAGACCACGGTAAGGACAGCGGCCGGTCACTCCATCTGGGAGAGCACTTTCCACAAAGCAACTGTGACTGAAGACCAACCAGAAGACCCTCAAAAGCCTTCCTTCGCAAACGCTCAAGGGCAGGCAGGGTCTACCGAGGGCCTGCTCTGTTTTCCAGGAGGCTCTGGAGCGAGGTTCCTCCCCCAGCCACCTCGGCTCAGAGACGGACTTTCCCATGAGCCCCCAGGCCCCTCCCCGAGGACCCCCTGCTGGCCAGAGGGCTGCATTCCCTGGAGCCCAGAAATAAATTCCTTCTACGCTAAACCACTTCCA